CTGACTGGGGCCCTTTAAGCCAACTGTCAGAATTTTTGGGGTGCTGAAGCACCCTAGCACCCCTGGCTGGACTATCGTTCTTCAAACAGCACATTTTCTTAGGAAGCCCCGCATGGCGTATGTTGTCCTGAGGGAGGTACAAGAAAGCCTTCAGCATAGAATCATGAAAAGGGCACTTTTTGCAAACCGCGAGTAAAATTCAGTAAAACTTGGCAACATCGTTTTTTCTCCATTTAAACCTGTGTTAAATAATCGAATCATATCGGCGTACCAGGTACCTTCAAGAATCGATACATTTCCATGGGTTTAAACGGAGAAAAAGCAATGTTGCCAACTTGCTGGATCCACCAATGGTGTCAACCATATGGGGCCTCCTTGGAAAAGGAACTGTTTAAGGCATAACCATAAAGACAGTCCCGAGTCCTCCTCCATAGAAATGCCCCGAACTTGTTGCTGTTCATTTTTGACCATTTACTCAGATCAAAGGACTATTTATATCAAAAGCCATGGCAGCCAAGGGACCATGTAAACGTAAACATTAATTATATGATCCACGTCGATCCCACCCATGCATATGGTTCCTTTGGGTTTTAATACTTTTCACATGGTAACTTTTGGCATAGATTTTTTAATTTATCAAGAGGTGGAAATATTTTTGTTGCTTTCACAAAGTGACGAATTTTTCAATTAATGACTAACTTTAATAAGAAAATGATGTATACGAGTGTAAAATGTTGTGTGCCGGAACCGCAGTTAGATCAATAATGTTGATAAAATTCGAGAATATTGTAGTCACGCTGAAGAGAAACGCACTTGGGTCAATTTTAATAGAGAGGAGATAAGTTATTTTTCAAAAAACAAAAATGTTTCCTCTCTGTGAAAATGGATCCATTCCTCCAATTTAAACCCTGATAAGAATGAAATAACGACATGTTGATCATCTCATAACGAAAGTGTCGATTAATTTCATAACCGTGGCGTTAGAGATTTTCACCGAGCGAGTACTCACCTCTCATGAAAAAACTAAAAAGCGATACCGAATGATTCCAAGTGCGAATGCGCTTTTAACGAATCCGTCTTAAAATTATGAAAGCTCCGAGGATTAACAGTGAGCCGGGAAGATTAACTGGGTGCAATTACAGTTATGAGATACTCACGATCCAAATTAATTTCACAGAGCTTTAGGGATCAGAGAGAAGGAGAAAGTATTTTTCCGTTTCATTGATCGCAGTAAACACTTGCAACGTCTGAATTTTTAGACTCTCTTTTTCAACCGGAGCTATCTCCTAGAAAAAACTAGATAGGCAACCCGCTTTTTCTTCCTTTTCCTTCACTCGATCTAAGAGACCTCGAGAGGAAGCGAGGCATAAATGATAGATTATCGATGTTTCCCCATTTGAGGCTACGGTAAAGAATCGATTATTAAGGTGTTCGTCGCCAACACCCTGTTTATCGATCCTTTTCCATGGGTTTAAACGGCAGATTAATCGATACATCGCAAAAAGCGCCATGCCACTGAGGTAAAATGACTACCCGTGATGTGAAGTAAGTTTAATGGATGAACAGAAATATAATTACGGCAATTTTTTTTTTAAATCGCACATACTTGACCTCTGCGAGGAACTCAGAGGCCCGACCTCTCGGAGGCAAAATTTTCATCATCGCGATCTTAGTCAAGTTGTGGGTTCGAAGATAGGATTTTGAGATTTCTAAAGAAAACCTCTGTATGGATTTTTAAAAGTAAAATTGGCGAGTAACTGTGTTCAAATTTTTGCCAAAAATGGTCATAAAATGTTCATTTATAATCCGGCGATGTTACACTCTAAATATGGCAGATTAGAACTTCAAGTAATTGTTTTTTTCCAAAGAAGAACCACAAACTTAAAACCATCATAGCTCTGGTTTGGTTTGTCATTTTTGCGCACCATACGTCGAAAAACGATTGTTGAACACTACTCTACACTCTGATACCGAATAACTTAATTTCGAGTTTTAGTGGAGTGAAGTCTCTAGAGCAGTCACATACGAAGGTATTAGTGAACGTCCATGAAAATAAAGGGACCATCTCCACAGTCCTGAGTAAAGGGTCAGAATTGACCGGTAGACAAGATACGAATTTAAACATCTGATACATGGATCGTAACCAAAATTTCATGTAAAACATGATTCGCGCAACGAAAAGTGCTGATATTAATAGAGTCCCTTTATACTCAGAGGTAAGACAACTCGATTATCAGCTGACTGGCAGCCGGCCTTGGCTGGCCATGGAGGCCGAAACGAGTGCACCCAAACGAACGATATTGAGGGATAAGGATCAGGAATCCTGCGATGTCTGTCACACAAAAACAACAACATCAACAAATTGATCAATTAAAACGAAAATTAGATTGGTTTGTGAATAATTTCTTAATCTATTTTCATTTTAGACCGATGGAAATAAAAATTTACTCGTGATAAACCACAATTAGGTAATATTTTCATTATTCTTGTTCACATTCGAGGTACCGCCATCTTGGTGCACTCGTTTCGGCCTGCATGAGCGAGAACCAATCAGAATTGGATTTTTTTTTAGGCCACTTTCAGCCCAACCAAAAGTGAGTTGTCTTAACTCTGGGTATAAAGGGACTCTAGATATTAATTCCTAATTAAGATATTTTACGTTTTTTGATGCGTAAATTGAACATTCAAGCTTTCGGCACTAACATATCACCCGAATTTTTCAAATGTATATAGAGCCCCTCCTAGGCATATTGAAAATGTGAATAACTCCCTTTATTTTAGTGTCAGTTACGACCTATTTGCTCTAGGTTACTGATAATAACTCCTAATATTGATAAATGTACACTATGGCAGCCCGAGAACATGGATATAAAATAGGCTGGGAAAAGGCGAGGACGAGGCTGAAAAAACAAAATAATTTACAAAACACGGGACGTTGCGACCGGTCTTCCGATCATTAGGTATCAACCGTGCAAAAAGAATAAAGAATAGATAGACCCATTCGATCGAAAATTGTTTAAAATAAACCCGCAGTATAGATTCGTTCGGCATGAATCAATCGAAAAATAAAAAGCGAACCGACCGATAGATACTCAATAAACACCGATTTTGATCGACCAAATTCGATTGATCCACGGGTCTGTCGATTTATTCATGGGTTCCCCGATCGATTCACGTATTGATTTTTGATCGATTCATGTCTATCGAATCGACGCCGGTTTTTTGATAATTTGTCGGAAAATCAAATTTAAACAAATGCGATCGCGGGCAGTAAGACTAGAGAAAACATATGGACCTAGACGTTTCGGCTGGAAAGGCTACACCACCGAACCAGAGAAAGGAGGCTGTGGTATTTCAGACGGGACTTCTTGGTTCATATGTTTCTATCCGCAATGAACCACTAGACAAGGTACGAATTTCAGCATTCTGATACATGTTACTTAACCAAAATTTCACGTAGAACACGATACGCACAACAAAAATTACCGAAATTAACTCTTTACGAAGATATTTAATGATTCTTGATGCGTGAATTGAAACCACCCGCTCATGAAAACTCAATGCTCTACGTGATTTACATCGCGCGCTAAACGTTATCATAAACGTCTCAGCGATATAAAAATCTGGTAACCTCAGTCTTGACGCTTTGGCTCAGCTACAGCAAATTGATTATAGTTTGAACAACACATGGTGGGAGATGAACATTGCTCGATTGAGAAGCTTGCTGAAACCATTGTAGTGCGCGATTTGACTCACGTAGAGCTTTGAGTTTCTCGCGAGCGGCCAGTTCAAATTCCTCGTAACTGATACGAAATAAAAACGTTAATATCTTCGCTAAGAGTTGGTTTCAGTAACTTTCGCTGCGCGAATCGTGTTCTACGTGAAATTTTAGTTCAGAGACATGTATTAGAATGCTAAAATTCGTACCCTGTCTAGTGGTCCATTGTATTTATTTAAAGTTGTGTCTTGTCACGAGCCGCCGAGTAGGTATATCCAATTTTTCTCATGTTGATTAAATCGTGTCGACCAATCCAAGTTTTTGTAATTAGATCCATTCATCCCGATCGAAACTATTACCTCTGGTGATTCAATACTACTACTATCACTAACATGCCGCTCTCACAGCGCATCCGTGCGCTCTGCGACAACCAACCGCCACTGGTAGCCCAGATCCTGCCAGAGCTTCTCCGGCACATCGCATCTCCTCATTTCCTGCTTTATTCCGTCAATCCACGATTTGGCAGTGCAACCTCTACATTTTCTACCGAGGGGGGGACCCATTCCAGAACCTTCTTAGGCAACCTATCATCCGGCATCCTTTGCACATACCCATACTGCTGTGCTAAGGAAAAACGCCGCATGAATATTCGAGAATTGCCAAATCTCCCCTCGATAAATTGTTCATTTTTAAGGGAAGCTATGAATATTTCTCCTTGAAATTTCAGAAACTTGAGGTGAAATTGCGAACAAAATGATTTGAGAAATTGAAGGAAAGATATTGATACATTTTCCCGAAAATTCGTGATTTACATACATATACACGTTAAGCCGCTTTTATAGCTTTCTCTGGCGCTCTGTGACACCCAGCCGCCAAAGTTCCCTATATCTTTCCAAAGCCCTTCAGAGAGTTGGCACAACCTCAAAATTCGTGATTTCCAAAGGGAATTTGGCAACACATGAAGGTTCATACGGCGTTTTTTCTTAATGTGGCAGAATACCAGACAAGCTGTTTCGTGAATGTGTCATGCACTAGTAAAAAAAACCTCTTGGTTCAAGAGTTCAGTTTCTTGTCGCCGGATTTAAGAGTCTGGACTCTTGTCTCAAGCGGATTTTGAATTGAATCAATGCAAAATCCGCTTGAAACAAGAGTTCAAGACTTCTAAATCCGGCGACAAGAAACTGCACTCTTAAGTCAATGCACCGCGGCATTGGTCCAAGAGGTTTCTTTTTACCAGTGTGCATTATGTTGTTTTAAATAAAGGTGAGAAAATAGAACTTACCTTGTTTGCAGGGATCTGAAGGAAGGTGGCGATGCCGGCCCTGACGCGGTTCTTGACCCCGCGGATGGTGCCCTTGGAGCTGCGAATGGTGGGCGACTCGGTCGTGAAGTCGGAGCCGGTGAAGTGGTTGCACCCGGCGAAGGTGTCGAAGTAGTCCTCCTCCTCACCCGCGCCCTCGCGCCCTTTGTCGAAGTTCCGCTCGCTTAGGTGGAAGTTGAAGTACTTGTTCGCGTCGAAGTCCGGCTCCAACGTCGCCGAAGAAGACTTCACTCCCCCAACTTCCACTTTGGGAACGCTTTGCGTGACTTTGGCCTTGCAGGTCTCCTCGGAGGGACTCTGCGTCACTTTGACTTTGAAGTCCTCCTCAGGAGGACAAAGCGTGACTTTGGCCCTGAAGGTCTCCTCGGAGAAATTTTGGATGACATCGGCCTGGAAGTCCTCGGCTGTAGAGCTCTCCGTAACTTTGGCTTTGAGATTCTTCTCAGGGGTACTCTGCGTGACATCTGCCTCCTCTGAGGAACTCTGCGTGACTTTAGCTTTAAGATACTCCTCAGAGTTACTCTCCGTGACATTTGCCTTGAGGCCGTCCTCAAGCTTGACTTTGGTTTTGAGATACTCCCCAGTGAGACTCGGCGCGGCTTTCGCCTTGAGATGCTCCTCGGAGAAACTTTTATTGACTTTGGCGGTGAGGCTCTCGTCCTGCGTGACTTTGGCCTTGAAATTTGGCTCAGGAAAACTGTGTCCATGGATTTTGGGAATGCTTTGCAAGATGTGAGCTTTGAAAGAGGTCTCTTGAGAACGAGCGCCATTGTGACTCTGATAGGGAGCCGGGGGATCTAGATTCTGATAGATCTCATTCTCGAAGTCCTGCTCGGAGGCCTCGTCTTTGGAGTTCTCCTGGGTGAAGTTGGGCTGGGCCAGGTCCAAGTTCTGATAGATGGAGTCGGAGTCCTGCTCGGTGGGAGGCTCGTGGAAGTTCTGGTAGATGTCCTGGTCGTCGTCCCTGGGGGCTCCGCTGTCGTGGTCGGTGTCGATGTCGTGGTCGCGGTCGGCGGGGTCCTCGAGGATGAAGCGGGAGAGCCGGTCGCCGAGGCGGCGGCATTCCCGGTCGTGGATGAGCGCCCGGAGGTGGGTGTCGCGGAGCCGGCTCAGCTTGTCATCCAGCCTACTCTGGAACTTGTCCTCCAGGCTTCCGCTCTCGCAGCTGTTGAGCGAGTCGTAGCTGAGGTCCTCCTCGTCGCTGACCCACTGCTGGACCGGCGGCGAGACCCGCTCGATGTCGCTGCTGTTCCCGCTGTCGGGGGAGTGCTGCCCGCTGGCGAGCTTCTCGCCGAAGCGGAGGTGCTTCTTCTTGGCCGGGAGCGGCGGCGGCTCTTGGGCGAACGGGCTCCGGAGCGGCGGGTTAGCGGTCGCGATTCGGACGACGGACTTGCTCGCCGGGAACTCGTCCTCCGTCTCCGAACTTGTTATGTTGATGCGCACCGCTCTCGACGGCTTAACGGACTGTCGCAACGACCTAGCGGCATCCTCGCTCGCCGCCGCGCCGCCGCCGCCGCCACCGCCGCGCGGCCGCGTCGACTCCACGCGTATCTTCACTACGTTGTTGGCCGTCTTCTCGATGAGCTCCGAGCTATTTTTACCCCCGACCCCGACGCTGCTCATCCTCTTCTTCGCGCTCTCTTCCGACAGCTTCCAGGCCCCGGGCTCCGTCCCTTCGGCCTTCACCAAGGACTTGCGCAGCGGTCGCTTCATCTTCACCGGCAGGGGCGGCGGGATTTTCGCGTTTGCAATCGACATGGCACTTAGATCACTCGGAACCTTCGCTTAAAATCAATAATTCAATCTTATCACGCGTATTCATCGCGGGAAAAATATTGCATTGCCCAGACTCTAGTAACAATTAAATGACTGTCATCGTTTTAGCGTAACCTGCTTGCTCCGAACATTCAAATTATTGAGGTAATGTATTCTTTCGCGAGGAAAGCGAAAATATTAAACTATATAAATTTTTAAAAAAGAACAAAAACAAATTAACTGGAATCTTACGTAAAGCAACGAGAAAGAAAACTTAACAAAAAATTGGACTAAACTTTATTGCACCTGTTGAAGCGGCAACGCTGCGAAGGTCAGGCAATCCGACGATCTGAACACGTTTTAAAAGCTCAGCGTACCGTTAAGAAGCCGCTGATCGTCTCTCACACACTCACGCACGCTCTTAGTTTGGCGGTTAAATCGAATCCAGGAGAGAGGAAAGGAAAAAACTACAAATAAAGAGGCGACGTCCTCTTTTTCAATTCAGATTCCAATCATAGGGCTTAAAAACCGACTTGTCATGAAATTCTGATTCCCTCGTCGAAAAGTAAAAAATAGAGCAACGCAAAATTCACTGAGAGTATCGATGATTTTTAGCACAGCAGTGACGGAATATCTGCGCGTTCAAGGGAGAGAACACTCAAAAATGTCAATTGGCGATTAAATGCACTGACAATAAACACAAATGTATTTTTTTCTTTTTTTTTGCACTTCGTAAAAAGTCCTCAAATAGCCAAATAATCAATGTCGGTGATAAAGTTGGTGGGTTAGTGGCACCAAATGGTTGGTTCGGAGGTATTGTCACACGAATAAGGTCACTAGGTAAACAGTTGAAAAAATCGGAAAACTCAGGAATTTGATTCCTCCTGCGAACGAACAATATTCACTGAAGCAAAGCACCCTTTTCCAAAAACAGTGACGTAATTCACAACATAAAGTAACGAGGAATGTATGGTTTAAACGAATGAGGATAGGAAATATGTCATTGAGCAATCAGGTAGAAGCATGACACTCATTCAAGTTATATCTCTACTTGGGAGCGCTCAAAATGCACGGGAGCAACTCGCGATCATCTGATAGAAAGAAGCGAGGAATCTTGGGCTCATAGGACCAGAAACAAGAAAAATTTCGTGAGGGTAATGAGCCGGGAAAATAAAGAGACCCAAATTTTACTTCCGTCTGAAGATGAAAATTCACCGAAAAAACGCACACAATTATCACGATAAAAATTAGACTCACAGGGGCAAAAACACGAGGAAAGTCACTTGGTGATAAGGTGGGAAAACGCTCTCTGTTGGCAGTCGGTTGAAGCCCACCAAAACAACGCACAATTACCGAGAAAAAAGTAAACTCAAATGATGATCCAGCGAAGGTAAAAATTCGAAATCACGCTTTCCGTCGGCGAACGGTTGGAATCCACCAAGACAACGCACAACTAACCACCGCGGTGAAAATCGAAGGCGAATAATGCGGTCAGATATGAAAAAAGTCACTCTGAGGTTTACCACCCTTGGCGACGGGTGCAAAGCCAAGGAAACAGGACACAACGGACGCGGGGGTGAAAAGGGTGAAAGGTCACTGGGTCGGGCTCGGAGCGGGCGCGGGGGGAAAAGGGAAAGAGGGAAATTGTGGAAAAGGAGAAATACGCGAGGCCGCGGTGGCGAAGCCGACGGGGCTCGGGCCAAAGTCAATTAATCCGGGAGCGATTAGCCGGGCCCGGGCGGCGCACATGACGCGTAACTTTCAAAACAGAGAGGCGAGATTTTTCGCGATTCGGCGATCGGGATCCGCTCAATTAGCGACGGATGAAACGCGGGTGAAATCAATACGGATCGGGCGACGATGCTCGTACGAAATTGTTGCGTGGCGCGGTCGCGGTGTCGCCGTGCGAGTGAGCCGTTTGCGGGTCGGGCTCCGATCGGCTCGGCCGTCGAGCGTCGAGGAATGAGGTCGAGTCGGCCGCGTCTTCTTCGTCTTGGCGGCCCGGCCGCTGCTCGCTGCTCCCGCTCCCGCGGCCGCTCCAAGTGCCACCGCGGTCCCCGCCGAGCCGAGGAGCCTCCAGTCGCCTCCGGTCGTCGGACTCCTGCGCTGCCGATTCTCCGACTCCAGCTCGATGACCGCCGTTATCCCACCTCTCATGCTCAAAAGTCGTATCTGCATCTAGAAGAGCACCCTTTTTTTGAGACTTCAACGCAAGAGTAGGAAAGTAAGCAATAATGGCCGGGCTTATTAGGGGCGTATTCGCATGTTATTCCGGCTCGATGACCGCCGTTATCCCACCTCTCATGCTCAAAAGTCGTATCTGCATCTGAGAGCACCCTTTTTGGAGACCTCAACGCAAGAGTAGAAAAGTAAGAATAATGGTCCGGCTTATTAGGGGCGTATTCGTAAGTTATCCCGGCTCGGTGACCGCCGTTTTCCCACCTCTCATGCTCAAAAGTCGTATCTGCATCTGAGAGCACCCTTTTTGGAGACCTCAACGCAAGAGTAGAAAAGTAAGAATAATGGTCCGGCTTATTAGGGGCGTATTCGTATGTTATCCCGGCTCGGTGACCGCCGTTATCCCACCTCTCAAACTCAAAAGTCGTATCTGCATGTAGAAAAGCTCCCTTTTCTGGAAACTTTAACGCAAGAGTAGAGAAATAAGCAGTAATGACCTGTCTTAAAAGGGCTTGATCACCGGCGTTATCCTACCTTTCAAGCTTAAAACTCATGTTTTCATCTTAAAAAGCACAATTTTGGAGACAAAATAAGAAAAAAGCAGTACTGGCCTTGCTCATTAGGGCTGTATTTATATGTTATTTCAGGCTCGATGACCGCCGTTATCTCACTTCTCAAGCTCAAATGTCGTATCTGCATCTGGAAAAGCATATTTTTTTTCTTTTTGGAGACTTTAACGCAAGGGTAGAAGAATATGTAGTAATTACCCGGCTTAAAAGAGCTGTAATCATATGTTATTCCAGACTCGATGACTGAAAGTATACCTCCTCTCAAGCTCAAAAGTCGTTTCTGCATCCAGAGGAGCACCCTTTTTTTGGAGATTTCATCGCAAGAGTAGAAAAGAAAGCAATTCTGGCCTCGCTTCTTAGGGTTGTTTTCATATGTTATTCCAGACTCGATGATCGCCGTTATTCCTCCTCTCCTCAAAAGTCGTATCTGCATCTAAAAAATCACGGATTTTTCTGTTTGGAGACTATAACGAAAGAGCAGAAAAGTAAGCAAAAATAGCACAGCTTATAAGGGCTGTACTCGATGACCGAAATTATCCCTCCCCTCAAGCTCAGACGTCGTACCTGCGATTAGAAAAGCACTTTTTTTGGAGACTATAACGCAAGAGTAGAAAAATATGCGATAATGGATCCGTTTATTAGATCTGCACTCGAAGACCGAAATCGGACGTATTTCTGCCAAACGGAAATATGTGCACTAAGACATGAGCTCTGAGACCCATAAGAATATATGCATAACAGAGCTCACGTCATAATGCACACAGTTCCGTTTGACAGAAATATGTCCAATTATCCCTCCTCTCAAGCTGAGATGTCGTATCTGCTTTTAGAGAAGCACCTTTTTTGGAAACTTTAACGCAAGAGTGGAAAAGTAAGCAATGATGGCCCGGCTTATTAGGGCTGCACTCGATGACCGAAATAATCCGCCCTCTCAAGCTCAAAAGTTTTATCTGCATCTAGATTAGCGCCTTTTTTTGAGACTTTAACTCAAGAGTAGATTAATAAGCATCAATAATGGCCCGGCTTATTTGGGCTGTAGAATCGATGACCGAAATTATCCTTAAAATGAAACGTCGCAGCTACATTTAGAGGCGCACCTTTTTTGGAGACTTGAACGCAAGAGTAGAAAAATAATCAAAAGTAGCTCGGCTTAATAGGGCTGAATTCATATGTTATTCCAGGCTCAATGAATGCCATTGTCCTACCTCTCAAGCTCAAAAGTCGTATCTGCATGTAGAAAAGCTCCCTTTTCTGGAAACTTTAACGCAAGAGTAGAGAAATAAGCAGTAATGACCTGTCTTAAAAGGGCTTGATCACCGGCGTTATCCTACCTTTCAAGCTTAAAACTCGTGTTTTCATCTTAAAAAGCACAATTTTGGAGGTTTCTAACGTAATAGTAGAAAAATAAGCAATGGTGGCCCGGCTTATCAGTGCTGTATTCATGTGTTATTTCCAGACTCGATGACCGCTGTTACTTTTCCTCTCATCATGTGCTGCGTTGTCAATTAATTATTGCATATCTTCAACAATAGACAAAACGAAAAACATCATGATAGACAAGTCTATAGAGAAACCAGTTAAACAGAGGAAAATGTGAACCACAGACTCAGCTCGTCGTCGAGCGACAAAAAAAGCTGAGATAAAAGTTCCCATGAGTGAAGAATCAAAGCACAGAGGTAGCGGCGTTAAAGTTGCGATAGGTCGTGCGAGCCGCGGGCCGCGGGGTAGCGTGGCCAAAATTCCCATTCCACGTGAGACTTCTCGCGGAGGGCTCCCGGTCTCTTTCGAGGACTGGCAACTCGGGTTCCTCGGAGAGGATCGTGGTATCACGATTTCTCTCTATCAGTTTCCCATCTGCGCATCAATTTTTCAACACGAGCAGGTGGAATGCTTTTTTCCGTCCATTCAGGGGTCTCATCTCGGGCGCGGGCTATCGCATAACAAGCATACTCGCCCCCTCCCCCTCGCGATTGTGTGTTGACATCCTCGCCCGTCTCTTAAAGTTCAGCATCTTGCTGAACGAGGGTATTGACGGATTTGCTTCGGTGTTGTGCATGATGCAGTGAATATCGCTGCCCAGTGTTAAGCCCTGGATAGACGATCAAATTCCGAACCAATTTCGATCAAAGTAGACATGCTGATGACTGATGGTCACCATCTACCATCAAATTTTGACGGGCTGCACTTATTTGTTCAAAAAGTAAGATCAGAATGGAGTGCCACTATTCATCATTTCCTGCCACAGGAAACATTTCTGCCAAGTTTTCATTTTAAAATGAAGCAAATGAATGAGTTTAAGACTGTTGATTCCCAGCACTTTGATGCTACTTTGACCGGACTTGGTTCGGGAATTTGATCGTCTATCCAGGGCTTATAGCACCGAGGAAGGCGGTGTATTTGAGATCAGCTGAACTTTATCAGTTAGCTGATTATTGGGATTGAAAGACGACGCGGTAGACGAAGAAAACGACGTAAAAACGGAGCGATCCCATTTGTTGGTAAGTGGTTGTTATTGATCAAGNGGGGGGGGGGTGGTAACTAGGGACTGTAACTATAAGGTCTCTCTTGGGCTGCCGTTGGTTAGTCTATTACTTACCTCCTTTGTCTATGCAACTACCCGCTTCCACCAATGGGATCGCTCCATTTTTCATTTGTCTTCTTTGTCCATCACGTTGTCCTTCAATTCCAAAAATCACCCTGCACTAGGGATATTCAACCGAAAAAAAAAAAAAAAAAAAAAAAAAAAAAAAAAAAAACGTGAACCGATCGACAGCAAATAAATTGACAGTTAATTTTTTTAAGCAAAAGAAAAAAAAGACAGTGCCGATTCGATTGAAAGACAAAACGTGAGCTAACCAACAGCGACTTGATCGAAATTCTGATTCGATCGATTAATGATATTGTTGATTGATTCACGGGTTCGACGAGTGATCCAGGCGTTTTGTGGATCGATTCGTGGATTTGATCTAAAAATTCGATGGATTCAAAGTGGTTATTAATGATAATTACGCCACACATATAAGCTAAAAGAACTACAATGCCTCTTATAAATAGTATAAACAACATAAGTCCATGAAAATAAGAATCAAAATCCTCGAAAAAACGAGGGACAGAATAAAGAATAAAAGTAAAACGAAGGGATCAAACATTATAAATAAAATTCGAAATTCAGTCGCATTGGCGTCGATCGAGTTTCTGTCGGTCGGCTCACGTTTTTGTTTCTGCATGGATTCGTGTCAATCGAATCAATACCCTCCACTTTCAAACCACGGGGAAGACAGCAGCGCGGGGTCTCTAAAAATTGATCTCGAATTACGTCACAATCCGGTGAATTTCGGCGACTAGAGGAACGTCCTTTTAAGCATCGAAAAATATAATTGCGGAGAGGCGAATTACCGAGGTCCGGTTGTCGTTATTGCCTCCTGGTCGACTGAACCGCCTAGCAGGCTGACAAATCCCGATCCTGACTGCTCGTATTTTGACAAACGGTGAGCATCGCTGCCGTTCTAAGGAAAAACGCCGTATGAACCTTCGTCAGTGGCCAAATTTCCTTCGATTAAACACGAATCCTCAGAACAACTCGTGAATATATCGCGTTCAATTTTTCGGAGGATTCCCTTCGCGATCAAATCTAAATTATCCGAAAATTTCGAAAGGAAATATTCACAACTCTCCTCAAAAATATACATTTCGCCGGAGGGAATTTGGCAACTCTGGGATGTTTATACGACGTTTTTACTCGGCACGGTGGAACGGTGCATCGAGATTGCGCGGATGGCGGAAATGGCTCCGACCGGCTCCTTTTACGACAGGAAATATTCTTTCACAATCGGAGCAGATGTTCGATGCGCTTTTTCCTCTGTTTTATTGCCGCGTCTCCGTCGTCTCAAAATCCCGCGACCCCCGCGCAAAACAGCGTAAGCGCCGTCAGGATCCAACGAGGAGCGTGCTGTTTTTCGGACAATAAACGAGAGCTGGATTCGCGCCTCCTTATCGTTCTCCATCATAGGTCTATTTATTACAGCATCGTCAAAATTGTAGCGGTACTTCACGGCCCAAACGGGCAGTTCTTAGGAGGGTCATTCGCCGAGTCTCGTGGAATTTCGACTTGATCCGTGCGTTTTATGCACGCTTAATTGAATTAAGCTGAGTAAAAGGAGGTACCGTAATGAAAAATAA